AGAGAGAGAAACATAGATGTTAAAGAGAGACATAGATTGGTTGCCTCCTACACATGCCCAGATTTGGGGTTGGGGACAGGGGGAGTAGTGCTATGGATAGAACTTGCAACTCAGGTATGTGCCCTTGACCAAGAATCGAACCCGAGACCCTTTGGTGTGCGGATCGACACTCTAACCATTAAACAGGGCTTATTTCTCCAAAATTTAAGAGAGACCACATAGATGCCTAATTTATCACATACTTGGATTAACTGAGAGAACAACCAATCAAACTATCTGAAAATGTAATTACAATCAGGTTTGGATAAGCAGAAAAGCTACCAGTGACAATTTAATTTAGAGGAGTTAAGCAAGTTAACATCTCTTTGCAAGTAATTAAATGTTTAAACAGATTTTCTGGAGCAGTTTGGTGTTTATTAGCCCCAAACAATACCACCTCTTACACATAAAGCCTTCTCTGAGAAATGAGATGCCTTTACTTTTGCAGCTGCTGGGGTTTAGAAGGAAAATATCTAAAAGTACTATTTTGATTATAACTGACATTTCTTTCCCAAAACCCACACCTGCGTCAGGTACTTGAAGTCACACTATTTACTTGCTTTCTGAGCAAAACGTCAAATTTCATTTGCAAACTGCTCTCTATGTTTCTTCTTAGGAGCCTGAAAACCAAACTTGGGGAAATGCTAAACGAGGACACCCTGCTCCGGAATGTACATGGAAATGCATAAACCCCCCCAAAAACAGGCATTTTGGAACCTAAGGAAAAAACCCGCATTTTTAAACAATTACTAAAGCATATAGCAACAGCATAAAGACAATTTCTGCACCAGCTTGTTTCTCTGAAATTCTCTCTGCCACTGAACAGCTAGAACAGATAATAACTATTAGTAAATCAAACTCCTCTGCAATATCCAGCTGTGCCTCACGCATTTACATACAGATAGAATGGGTATATGTTTTTAATATGTATGTGATACGTACTCTTACCACAGCCGAAGTGCATGCTACAAAGGCGGAGGAGAATGGGAATCGGATCAGCATGAGATAATAAAGTGGCCTAGATAAAGTATTAGCCAGCGATTGATCTCAAACCGGGTGCTGCTGCTTCTGACCTGATTACTTACTATGCATAGATTCCATTAAATAGAGCTTAGACATGGAAAGCTTCTGGAAACACTTTAAATGCATAGAAGGATCTATAGGAATCTGCACCCAAACTGTAACTGCAGAGGTGCCCATAGCCCACATCCTCCCTGCTAAGCCGAGGCCCTCAGTGGGCTGGGAGGTGAAAGAGCCTCCTGACAGCTGGTGGGAGGCCCTGCCCAGCCCCACAGAGAAGACCTTTCCTTCCCTCCCCCACTCCAAGCAACTACCCCCCCAGTGAGTGCCTCACTTCAGAGCTCTGTTCTGGTCCTGGCCACAAAGCTCTAACTAACACAACGGGAAAGGAGCGAGGGAGTTTAACCACCATTCAGGGTCATGGTCCCCTTTGAAAAACTGATGACAGCCATGAACCCCTTTTCAGAAAAGAGAAAAAGAAAAAAGCAGCAAATCCCCACATGCATGCCTGACTTGAGATGTAAGTTCAGGGGCACTCGCAGACTTCCTGAAGGCCCAGAGCCCAGGTCAGGGACTGCCGGTCTAGCCTCCCCTTCATTTAGCAGATGAAGACGCGCAGTGGGGAGGGAACTGGGGGTTGCTAAAGGAAGCGAAGTGTGGAGGCCTTCCCTGCTAAGTCACAGCCTGACCCTAAAGGAAGATTAATTCTGCACAAAGGGTTCTCTCGCCTATACCATAATGTTTCTCATCAAATCCCCTTTATTAAAAAACATTTAAACATATACTTTGAATAGCAAACCAGACTAGGACCTCTCCAGCTCAGTGTTCCCATCTGTCTCTGTCCCTGAATTTGAGGGTCTGATTTTTAATTTTTTGCTTTCTCAGTCCGATTATTGACATTCTGGGATAATTTCTCTACTATCTTTGCATCTTTGTCCTCCCCTTTCTTGCTGCAGCCTCACCAATCCTTTTTGACCAGGAGAAGCCATTTTCTGTTTTTTTCCTTTACATGGGCCATGACATCCCTGCTTGTCTGAGGCCTGCGAACATCCTGTCTGCACCTCCAGAGCTGCTGCAGCCTGGGAACTTTTCCCTAAGTCTGCTGGACCAGGTCACAGAGCTGGGGCAGCACAGACAGAGCTCTTTCCTGCGACACACTTCTGGGTGATTGAAAAGTGTGTCCCTCCATGCTGGCATCGGCATCGCAGGAGCAGAAAGAGGGCGTGTGGGGTCCTGTCCGGTTGTGTCGGCACGCTCCATGTTCTTGGCTGCCTGCACGGCTGCCTGCTTTCCTTGGTTGGGTCTAACGGTGAGTCCCTATTTTGAATGGGAGCCCACTCAAGGGCACTCACTCTGGGCAAAAGGCATGTGCAGGTGGGTCCGCTGCTTCTGTGTCAGTCAGTTTCAGGCCTGGACACTAGGGTTCCTTCTATAAGAACTGGAATTTCTGAGCAGACTGCACATTTGTGGGTGTGGGACTCCACTAGGTCAGTGGAAAAGGGATTTCTGGTCCAGCAGACAGCAGAGGTGTAGCTTTGCTCTGAAAAGGTCTAGAGCCTCTATACCGGCATGCTTTGCCTGGAATGGAGTTCCCTTGAAACTCTATTAAAATTTAATCCATCCTCCAAAGGCCCTTTCAAATGCTACCTTCTCCAAGTAGCTTTCCTCCATTTCCCAAGATGGGTCCTCACAGCACCGAGTTCTTCCTGGCAGTTACTTTATTGCCTGTTACTGTATATTTCCGCATCCCCTGCAAGACTGTATGCATGTTTCCACCCAACCCATCTGACTTCCTTCCTTTGATTTGGAAAATGCAGGCCCATAGGGAAACCTTGTCGATCCTGCAGGCCTCACAGCTGATGTGGCCCCAGCTGTGCAGACCACGTTGGTACCCTGCTGCCTGGAGTTACTGAGCTTAGGAAATAAACTGCTTTTTGTGAAAGGCAGGCCCCCAACTACAGTGACAAATGGGCTCTACAGTTCATGCATTCCAGAGGATGCTCGCAGCTTCCAGATGGGAGCACCATCAAATAGGTTGCAGGCAGAGAGAGCAAAGGAAAAATTAAAGCCATTAATATGCTAGAAGGAATAAAGAAACTGGTTCTTTAAGACTGGATGCCCAGGATGTGACTCAAGTTCCTGAAGCCAGGGACCATCCACTTTCTATCCCATCACCTAGGAGCCCAACATTTTGGCCAAAGGCAGGCAGGGCCCGATCCCTTGACCACAGGAGCCTCACACACACTCGTTTTCTGCCTCCTCACCGAGCCTTTCTAAGCTAGGAGAGCCTCACTGTTGCTGTACCTGAGAGAATCCATTCATTTAAATCAAACTGTGAGCAGCACTAGAAATAATGTTAAATTAAGTATAGGATAGTGATTCCTGTGACTAAATTTTTCATTGTGACTTATTGATATTTATTAATTAAAAAAGTTGGACAGCACACCACCAGAATGTATAGTTGTAAAGAGATATATTGAAGTTTGTATCCCTTGTGTGTATGTGTGTGTGTGTGTGTGTGTGTGTGTATCTCTCTCTCTCTCTCTACACACACACACACACACACACACACACACACACATACACACACACACACTGAACATACCCACCCTTACCTTATCTTTATGACATGACACCCTGGAATGGTGTTCCTTACCAGCACATACGTACCCTCTACACATGTTTTATTTATAACTGGCCAACTCATTGCAGCACTGAAACATGCATTTACAAACGTTAACTGTTTTATGAAACCCTATTGGCCACCCTATGCTATCCAGCGACAGCATAATAATGTACAAGGTAAATGGGCTCCATATCTAGAACCTGCTCCAAGTTTTCTTAAATGTGACTAACTGCAAGAATTTCCCAACCATCACAGACACCCCACCCCACCCCACCAAGACCAGTTTATTCTAGACATGAAACTGGCATAGCTACAAATTATAGAGGTTTTAGGGGTGAACTTTCTTTAACTTGAAACTACCCTGAAAAATGAAATTTTGCTCCAGAGGTGACTGGAAGGAGAAAGTGACCTACCTGGAGAGCAGTCACGATGAAAGGGGACAGGACAGCTCTCTTGTTTGGGGATGAAACCGTATTAGACAGAAGTTTGTGCATTTAGAGTGTTTATTAGGACCAACTACATGGATGAAAACCTCTGTACCAGTATCTATAAACTGCGTATTGTTGAAAGTGGCGAAAGAAAATTGGCTGGAATTTGCTCTGACAGCAACAATCTAAAGACGGCGAATGGTATGCAAAGCATTAGAAAGAGACTATAATTATTACTTACGAACGCTCAATTCTAACGTTACTTTAAACAGCTTGCGCACTGTCAACACAACAATCTGCGCTAAACAAATGACCATTTGGGAATTATTAGAGAGCATCTCTGTTCCTCTCCCTGCTTGACTAAAAACTGTCATTTGCAATCAAAGAAGGCGGTCTTGGAGCTGAGAACACAGCACCAGCAGCCTTGGGGTTGTCTTTCTGAGGAAAGACCAAAGGTTCACATTAACTTGATCTTTTGCAGTCAATTTCATTCTACATCAATTTAAGAGGACTCTAGGCCACATTCAAAATTTTCTGCAGGGTTGCACTAAAAACTCAACTCGCTATCTTCTCTGTGACCAATCCTTTGAGTTCTGAGAGGCTAGCCTAACAAATGAGGGTGAGGCGGAGCCTAGATTAATTTATGACCCTTAAGTAGAAGGCAAAGGAACAACTCCACACTGAGTTTCAAAATGGTGGTGGGCTTTTAAAAAAGTAAAAACTACTAGCTGAGGATCGGAGCTTCAAACACACCTACTCAAATTAAGTATACACGGGTGCCTCTCTAGAGCCTTTGGATATTTCAAATTCCACTCTTGTCCTTTTAACAGAATGCTAAGCAGTTATATAAATGAAGAAGTCTAATGTAAGTGAAAGAATTTACTTACCATCAATTCCTCAGGCGCTGGCCTTTCTTTTGGCTGTTTCCGCATGCTGTAAGAAGAAAAACAAAACGCCTAATATTTATATCACTTGTAAATCTGTGCTATAATTTCCACTACTGACTATTTCCCCTGGATGTGGGGTGTTATCAAAATTCATCATGTTTAATTCTTGGCCAAGGTACAGGCACTTCTTGCTTTAATGTGCTTTCACAGATGTTGCGTTTTTTAAAAACTGAAGGCAAGACCCTCCACCAGCAAAAAGATTACGACTCGCTTTATTGTGTATTTGCTTCATTACGGTGGTCTGGAACCGAATTCGCAGTATCTCTGAGCAATGCCTGTATATTCTTCCTTTTACTTTGGCCTTTCATTAATCAGACTTTGGGGGATCTCAAGAATCAGAAACACACACACACACACACACACACACACACACACAAGTTTTTCAAAATTACTTTTGCAATAAAGATAATGAATTTAAATTTATCTTAATTCTACTTTTGAAACTAATGTGAAAAAAAAAAGCAGCAATATTCTCTTCCTGATTCAGTTGTCAATTTATTTCAAACTTAAATTTAGGGAACAATATACTTTTTGGTAATTGGGATAAGATAATAAGGAAACATGACTATCAGCTCAAACGAGAAGACATCTCATGCCATCCTTGTTACTCCAAATAACAATACATAAAAGAGGTCAGGAATCTAGATAATGCTGCCAGATTACAAATGGGTTAATATTACATTATCCTGACTTTCATTTATCTTGGCTACAATCAAGTTGCCAATTCATTAAACAGCTGTGGAAAAACTGAAGTTTGTTTAAGCTGCTTAAAGAATCACATTCCTCATGTAAAATATTAGTGCAATAGGTACAATTAGTAGCTGTAGTGTGTACTCAGCTACGTGATAAAGCACCTGCAGGAGACAACTGTATTTATACAAAACACAGAGTGTCTGTGGCTGAAGTCATGAAGACAGATTGCTGCTTCTATTATGGTTTTTCTTTATATAAAGCAACCTCTAACTTATATACAATCTCTGCATTGCTGACAGTGTTTTTTTTTTAAGCAGAGAGATGTAATGATCATTTGGTAAACAAGAACTATAGTTATGAGCCATTAATGGCACCAAGGACATTTGCCTTCCCTATAAGTAACCATATGCATCTCTCCAACACCGCATCCGTTAGCAAGCCATTCAAGCTGTCTCGCTGGTGGAGTTGGGAACAGTCCTAATCTGACATTCCAAAGTAGCTGTATCTCCTGGGAAAACAAGGCTACTACCCATTATCATTTCTGTTTCACCATGGCATCTGTGGAAATTTCAACATAGGTTACCCTCCCTCCGTCTTCATCAAACTTTTATATAACAGCTGATTAATTTTTTGGATGGGAGGGAAGGCAAAAATAGTATCTGTTTTTCCCCCCCTGTCTACAGGTTGGTCTCAGCCCACACCGTGAGCTAGAGAGAAGCATGGTCATCCCGTCACAAATCCAACGAAATCCAACGTCTCTGGAGCCAGTGATGCCCACACCAGGCGCTCCAGGCCGTTTAGAATCGCACGGTTTGTTTTCCAATTTCTGCATTTCAAAACGGGGCATTCCCATATGTGCTTCTGAGTGTTTCTAGGAATTCCATGAGAAGGAAATTAAGAAAGACTAAAAATATTTCTGAATAATGGCTCTAATATTAACCAACACGTATCCTTTTTCAACATGGCATAATTTGGGAAAAAAACTGTTTGCAGAGTGGAAACAGTTTTTAAAAGCGACGGAATATTAAGTAAGTATTTAAAATAAATAGAAACAGTGTTAATAAAATTTTAAAAATAAAGGGAGGGGAATCTCTTCTCTACATTTTTTTTTCTTCTGTGAAATATAAACTGTATGAGACATTTTTATTAAGAGGTAACATATTACACTTAGTCAAAAAAAGTGATAAAGCTTGACATTTATATTAAGGAATATTTCTTGGTTTCACTTTAGCGTAATCACCAGATGGATCATAGGGGCAGGGATGGGGACAGTGCAACCACTTCAGTTTAGCGAGGCCTCCGTTCCGGGCACCGCAGGGGTGGCGGGCTCATTGTTGACCAGTGGACAAGACTCTGAAGGGCTGATGGACTAAGGAGCTGGGTGAAGGGGGAGAGAAGTGAAGCTAGTTATGAAGGAAGTCCAGCATGTCCGGACCAGGCTCCAGCCGGCTCTGTCGCCTGTGTGGGGGTGATGGTTCTTCTGCTCCCAGTGTTCTCCTCTCTCCATGCTGCGGGGAGGAAGAGGGCAGAGGAGGGCAGTGGACACCTGGCCTTCCAAGGCCACATAAGTGCTGCCGAAGGAGTCGGAGAGAGGTGGATGATGTGAAGGGCTCATAAAAGAAAACATTCTGCTGGGAGGAAAAAGGCAAAGCTGCGAAGAACCTTGGCAGAAAAATGCCTGCTTCCTCAGGTGTAACATGACAAGGGGCTGCCTGGGGACTCCGAGGGCCCCTTTGGTCTAAATTCTGTGGTTCTTCTTAGTTCCTTAGAGCTTAACGTGGGCCTGATAGAACCATGTTTTCAGGGTCTTTCAAGCATCAAAATTCATTGAAATGGGACACCACTATTGTGTTTAAAATATAACCAAAGATAAAAGTTATTTACTGGAAATCAAATGAATTAATAAACTATGCTGCTTCCACTAAGTGACAGACAGTTTTATGGGTAACTTGAGGTTACATTAATAAAAATAAGCTTCATATGTCTGTTGAATCGGGGCTATAAAACTGTGTATTTCTTAAAAAAAAAAGAAAAGAAAAAAGAAAGTGGATAGCAATAATATCTGGGCTCAAAGAAGTAGCCTGATTCTCAGCAGTTTGTTAAAACAGAAATACATTTACAACCCTTTGTGTAAATAACGTTTACATAATTTAAACAGTTTCTTCAGCTTTGCTGCCCCATCTGCCCAAGGCCCTGAAGTCCCTCCCATCTCTGAGAAGAAGCAGGGAGAGCCATAAGGTCTCACGGAGCCTCCGAGTTAATGGCATGTATCATTTACATTGAGGGCATGGCATGTTTGCAAACAGGCTCACCACTGAGTGATGAAATGTACAAATGGCTCGGAGAACTCTCCAACCGGAAGGACGGGCGAATCCTGGGATGGAGGAAAAACAAGTCACCAAAAGTCACAATAATGCCTTTTCTTTCTTTATACCCTTCCCCTGCATCCCCCACCAAAGCAACAGCATAAAGATGAGTGTATAATAAGGATTCACCACTCCGTGGAAAGGAAAACAAGGCCTCATCCAATTATAGGCCTCTTCTATACCCTCTTTCACTGGCTTATGTAAAATGCCAAATTTACAGCCAAACGCATTGAAAATGGTGAGAAACAGGAGCACAAAGAGGGAGGGGAGGTGAGAGAAGGACAATGATAGCCACAGGGTAGGCAAGAAGGTACGAAAGTGTAAATGAGAAATTAATGATTATTTAAGTAACACAAATGGTCTTGTAATTAACAAAGAGCTGTGGAATTATTCTTGTGCTGACCTTTGTTTCTTTTACTGGGTTTGCTGCTTATTTACACTTTCCTTTTTATTTACATTCATTTGTATATTCAACTGCTCTTAACTGCTTGCCCCTAACATAATCATTTGGGCCAGATTTTTTTTTTTTTTTTGAAACTTGACTGGAAAGGCTTTTATAGGAAAAGCTTTCCTGAAAAAGAATTCGGCCTATTTGCCAGCCTAGGCCAGCTCATCAGATGAGAAAGCCGGTGAGTGAAAGACATAAAGGAAAATTCCCACCTTGACCACCACACGGAACTGGGAGGAGGTGGTGTCACTCTCAGGAGCAGATAACTACACGGCAACAAATGCGGGACAACAACCGCTTAACACAGGGAGCAAACCCCATTATCACTCGCAAAGGAAGGCTTTAAGAATTTAGGAGTTTTCCCAAGAATGACGGAGAGCGCCACTGTGTTTATAGTGTAACGGCTCAGGATGTAATGAAATTACACTGCAGAGTACTTTAACAGTCATCTCATTAGACCTACAGTTGGAACAAGAGAACCACATAAAGTAGGCAGCTGCAAATGACTCCATTCTCATCTATTCTCATTTGCTATTAAAAATACCTTTCGGCGGCTTTCTTTCCTCCCTGACATCCCCACACAAAGTGCCCTGCAAAGTATGATACATGCACCTATTTAAATTAACAAAGGAATGACTTATTTTAATCTCACTGTGCTTTGGAGTGCTTTGGCCATTTGGATGAGCAATATATCATTACATACAACCTTCCAGCGCTGCAGGCAAGAAACTCAGAGCATGCAGCATTTGGTGGGAGTCAAACAATTTCTCTCGCACACAACTGTGTCAAATGCATGCATGTATTCATTACTGAGAACGAGAGGAAATGGCTTTGATGTAGTGGAAAAAAGAAGATGATAAAAGCACCTCTGCAATATGTGTGTCATTATCAATGGTGGCAGATAGATACAATCACACAGCCCCCTATGTGATTAGTAAATATACATATAATTGCTGTGGCCAATTATCAGAAAAATGAGATTGGTAATTACAAGACAGAAAATTAACTAGAACTCTTATTAAGGCTTTGTTTCCAATTCAAACAATTGGAAACCGCTGGAAAATACAACTGGATCAAAAGGAACTGAGGGGGTCAAAGCAGCAAAAAAAAAAATAAAATAAAATAAAAAAATCAAAAAATTCCAAAGAGGTTAAAAGAAAAGGAATGGGAACAAAATGTTTCTGAGCTTTTGCCTGTCTGTCCTCTTTGAATGTGCTCTGTGCATCCAGGGGTGGGGAAGGCTAGTCATTGTAAACTTAAAATTCTCATCAGTAGAGAAAGGCTTCCGAGAGGAAAGGAAAACAAAGGAATACGGGAGTGAAATAAAATCTCGCCAAGTTCAAAGGATTACATGCCGGCATTACATAGAGAGGACATGAAAAATGGGGAGCTGATGAAACCGTCTGCGCAGAAGAAACCAGGCGCGCAGTGAGATGACACGTCTTCGATAAAGGTACTATAAAATGGTCACAGAAGTCCCATTGGTTTGAAGAGCAAAAATAAACCATGATATCAATTTCAGCCCGGCCTGTTTCAGGAAAGCTATATATCACCAAGCCTGCGAGGTTTCTACAAGGCCCCGTTCAAGCAATGACGTTTTACTGTCTCAAGAACTATTAGTGCAAAGATAGTTCAAAGTCTGAGGTACAAAAATTATGGACTCTGATCAGGTTGTGAGTTCTCCAAGTCATCTGCTCCAGAAATATTTTTGGAGGCTGTGGTGCTGGAAGTGCCTGAGTAACAGCTGCTTTAAAATGCAATGTTTAGGAAAATAAAAGCCCACTGTCTTAATGTGGCTGAATATTTACCAAGATGGTTAAAATTCTGGGCTGGTTTTCTAAAAATATCTTGGTATAAAAATGATCCTAATGTGGCCTCATTTCAAAGTAGGATACCAAGAGTAAATTAATGATTTATAAACTAGGCAACTTGATGAAGATGTCATTTTAACATGGATGAGGAACGAAATGAGGAGATGTGACATCTTTGCATGGATAGTTAATTTTATTTAAGACCTGATATTGTACCCTGTTAAGTTCCTCATAACATAAAACTAAGGAACACTGGGTGGTACCATGAATAATTTATTTTACTTGTGACTTTGCAGACCCACTGAGGGTGGAGTTTCATCTCACTGGGGCCTGGAAAGAATCACTCATCGAAGATACAGGAGGGGATTCTAATCCCACATGCATAATGCCAGGTATTTATTTTCATTTTAAAGTCCCTGTCTCTTGCATACCTCGAAGGAGAATTTTCTGAGATACAGAAGACAGACGCATGAGGTGATAGTGGTCAGGGCAGAAACAGGGCACAGGGATCCTCTGAGGCCACCCCCTGCCCCCTATGCCACAGAAGCACACGGCTGTTAACGCCCTCAAAGAAAGAAAATGAATAGGTCTGACAGTGTGCACACCCCTGGAGGATTTTAAAGGATACTTTTCTCATTTTTAAGCAAGTTAAAATGAGAAGTTAGTTTAGATCAGGAGGTAAAACACCTCCAAGAAGCTGCCTCTTTTGTTATGTATTTCATATCTGTCTGAAGGAGGTAGGTAGGCTCATGGGAAAGTGGCTCCAGCCTCACAGAGGCTCCCAGGGAGGGAAAGCACCCAGGCCCCAGGGTTGGGGGAGACTGAGAACCGTGCCACGGGGCTGGGAGGAGCTAGTAAGCTAGTTGCTGCTCCCTATCAGGACTGTTCTCTGTGAAATATGGGTTCAGGCTAGATGAAGAACATATTTCAAAAATATAAACACAAATTGGAGAAGCAGTTACACTAATAACTCTCAGGACTGGTGGAAACACACTCCCAACTGTTAATAAAAGTCACTCACTTTAAGACCCTGTGTGCCATACTTCACCTTAAGGGCTTTTTTGGGGGATGCTATTCATTTCGCATCTAAGCATGGAGGTATGGAACAAAACAGTGGACACAACCTTAACCAAAAGGCTTAACCTGAGCTCTATGGAGCAGCAACTGGAACATACAAACAGCTGTTAAGAACCACTTCAGTAAGCAATCCTGGCCATCAAGGAGCACCGTCTCCCAGTCTCTGAGGCCTCCATAACTACCTGGTCAGCCCCTTTTGCTCAACAACAGGAACACAAGCAGGCGGCATGCAGGGAGCAGCGAAGGACAATGGGAAAAAAGTGTGAGTGATGCCTTTGCCTTGTGAATAATGAACAGTTCAGGAAGGTCAACCCATTACAACTGAAACTGTTTAATTATTAATTATGCACAATCTATGAGCAAAAGGACAAGTTCAGAATGTTTAATGTATGCTAACTTCAACTGGACTCTCTCTGGTATTTTGTTATTAGCACTTGTCAGCAAGGTACTCAGGCATAAAAAAAGACAAGCAGCAGAAAATCAGTGCCTGTGTGTGTGTGTGTGTGTGTGTGTGTGTGTGTACCTGTTCACTCAAAGTGGTGGGGGAGGGGAGGTGGGAAAAGGCAGTCCAATTCCAACCACAGCTGCTACTTGTTCACTTGCAGAGTAAGTGTGCCAATAAGTACACCTTATAACTGACAGCAGGCACACTGAATACTCGAAATACAGAAAACATTAATAAGAAAAATGCTTTCGAAATGACTTACTTGAAAGAGAGATAGCTATTTTAAAGGCAAAGTTTTTTTTAAACTATGATGATTATTGGCTTTGAAAGAATCTATATCATTAATGTACACACACACACACTCACACACACGTAGAAATCAATGTCAATTTCCTGGTTGTGATATTGTACTATACTTATGAACTGTTACCATTGGAAAAAACTGGGTGAACAGTACACAGGATGTCTCTGTATTACTTCTTACAACTACATGTGAATCTAAAATGTCAAAATAGGAAGTTTAAAAGGAGAAAGGCAAGGAGCTAGTTTTAAAAACTCTAATGAGACCCACATATGAGAAAGAAGCTTGGCAAAATTAGTCAACTAGAAAAAAATTAGGGGGCCTTTAGTTAAAAAAATAAAAAACACCAAACCTGAGGATTTAATTTTTGCCTTTAATTCTCAATTATAGATGACAACGGAACTTGATGATGATGTAGTGGTCAAGTCAGATAGGACACAGACAGAAAACTGTATAAAAATGACACAATCACTCATTACTTAACTTACTGCTTCATTCATTCAACAACTTTCTTGACTACCTGCTATGTCAAAAGCACCGAGTCTAGCACTGTGGGATGATTGATAATTAACTCATATCCTTAAAGAATCTGGGAATTGTTTGGAGAATAAGATGTATACCCCCCAAAATAGCTCTGGAAGATGGAAGAAATGACCATGGCTGGGCACTCAGGCTATAATGGGAGAACGGGGGTTCGATGCAGTTTAGCTGGTAGGTACCTGTGTTCTGAGAGAAGAATGATGGGAAAATAAAGTGTAAGTGTTTGGAAGGCTCCGAGACACCTATTTGCTCTCCTATTTTCTTAAGCCAGCCTGACAAGTTACACAAAATACAGCAAGCCTTCTTTTAAAAATAGCCTATTTCTAGACTTCATGGTCTCAAACCATCAAACCAACAGGTCCATCACAGAATCACTTAGAGCCTGA